TATGAGCTGTAAGATTTGTAGGACAATAGTGTTTGAAGAGTTCTTTAAAATGCTAAATACGCACAGTAAATAATGAAGCATTGCAAGTGCAAACATAAACATCTCTGTAGCATTGGCTGCAAGTACATGCCTATATATTAATCAAGGATATGAATCTTTTTTGAAATCTGCCTAAAGATCCTCAGTAAAAGTTCTGACATTCTCAAAATTTCCTATGAGAAGTTTTTGTAGTTCTTTTTATTATTTTTATTATGTCAGATATTTGCATGGAAACCAGCTCTTCTCCTTAGAAGCCTGTTTTTTACCTGGAGCCAAAATATTTCAGCTGAAAAACGTCTGATGTCACGGAGGCAAATCAAAAGAGGATATTCTGTTTAGAAGCTGTTGATGCTTAAGGGGTTCTTTTAATAATGAGGGACTGCAGGTATACCAATGATTAGTTCAGAATGGAGCTTCTCATGTGCTAGCAGACTTCAAAATAAGCAACAGCTTGGAAAGACATCCAAAATCCTCTCCTTTCAATTAAAGCATTTTCCTTCTCTCTCTGTGTTTAATGGGCAATTCCCACATAAAGTTTTCCTTCCCATTTATCTGGTGCACCAAAAACCCACCTTCAGTTTCGGTCTATCTTAACAACTGTCCGGGAGCCAACATAAAATTGCAACCTAATATTAATCACAAAATAACATGCTACTCCATTGGATGTTGACCTGGTTACAATTATGGACTCTATCCTCTCCCTTCTCAAAAGTATTTTGTTCTCCCTGAAATATTACAAGTGTCTTTGCCTTGCTACATATACACACACACTTTCCACTGTACAGCCTCTGTAATTCTAACCCACTTCTCAGGCAATGAAGCACATCAACTCCCTTTTAACCACACTGCTTCAAGTACCTTTCAACACCCTTCTATAAAGATAGAACAGCCTGCAATACCTATTGATGATTTCTTCATGATTAATCAGGCCAACTGAGTAGTGAACCAAGGGCAACATACCCATTGCTGCTATGTAATTTAGGCCAAAAACTTAGTCTAAACTGCAATATTTATGAAAAACAGTAACAAGAGAAAATCACACAGGGGACAGGTAAAATAATTGTTGGATTTCTGAAATTCCATTGCATTTAATTTTTTTGTTGTTGTTCGTTCATATGTCCATATTTATAAAAGGGCCATTAGGATCAGGCAGCTTCAGGATTATTTCTTTCAAACTCTCCAAAACCAGCAGAGAACAATCGAAATAGCTATATTTAAGAGGGCTAGAATAAGAACTAGCAGATGAAGGAGAGAGAATCTTATAAAACTATTACAACAAGAAAATTAAAATGATGTAGTTTTAGAATTATTGAGGCCAAAATAACCATGCCTTACCACCTCTCCCTAGTGAGATTTTTTTTCTCTAGGTCAACAGAAGAAGGCAAATTTCAGGTTTTAAGTCAGCATTGTAGAATCACTGAAATTTGAACTACAAACTGAACTTTTGTTCCAAAAGAGTAGCACCACAAGGGTATAAAAGTTTTCATTTATGAGCATCTAAAGACCAAGTACACAACCAGCACAAGACTAGACTTATAAAGACATCCTGATGTTATTAAACAGAATAATTTGGTAAGCATGGCAAAAATTTGGAACTAAGCTTATTTCAGAGTCAACCGATCTGCTTTAAGAAGGTAGCTTGGCACAGTAATAACCCTAGAACAACATTATATCCACAGGATACTGGAAGATTCAAATGAGATTATTCTTACATCTGTCTGAAAACATGCAGAGTAAATGCAGTTTTAGCAGAATTAGTTTTTGGAATATCTCATTTCTTCTGAAAAAATGTATTGATCTTTTGGAGTTTTCCAAAATCATGCTTCTCCTCCCCTGCCCCCCAACATTCTTGTGAAAAAAAAATAAAAAAATAAAAAAATTAAAAAAAAAGGAAATCAACCTCTCTTGTTCCCAAAACCCAGTGTATTTAAGAATGTAATGTCTTACTTCTGTAGTAAATTCATCTCAAGAAACAAAAAGACAACCAACCAACCAAAAAAAAAAAAAAAAAAAAAAAAAGCATCAGATACCTCTGAGCCCTTTCTCCAATATAGGAGAGCTATAACCACCCTTTTTTCCATGAGTAATAACAGTCCCTGTACCATCTATATGGACTTGGTTTTCTCCTCTTGCATTCTTGTTAAAAGGAAAATGAATGATACCTTATCTTTATACAGGGCTATATCTGTATATGAGGGGAAAACAGACCAGGGAATTTAATAAGAGGGTGCTGAAAACATCACCTTCATGTTTCTTACTCTACTGCAAATTGCAAGAGGTGGATAAGCAAGAGCTAAATGGGATCCAATTCCCATTTCCTACACTGCAGGGAAGTTTTCAGGCAGCACAAGATAAATTGGTCTAGTCATAGGTCATCTTTAATGTTTATGGAGCACTTGTGAATGATCCCAGAGTGAGTCATGAACATTATAAACTAATTACACTAACATTACATAGTGGTTTGTACTTGCATGCTGAATTTCTTTTATTGGTATTTTTGGCAAACGATACACATTGCAATTTCTTGGCTAAATAAGCCTATTGCTTTCAGAGACTAAAAAATTGCTTCACAAAAATATAACCACCCTGAATTTAATCACTCTCTACTATCTGAAATAGGAGTTAGTATTAATCCAGAGAAAAACATACCTTATCCCTGACTCCTGGCCAAGAGTAACTTTTTTTTCCCCCCTTCTACCCTTCAATAGACATTGCTGGATTGTTTAGTAACTAGATAAAAATCTTGAACTACTGCTGCTCTTTTAACACTATTCATACTTGAATTGTTGACCAGGTAGCATCACCAAGGTTATTGTTTGTTTTTACATGGAGTTCTCATTACACTGATTTATCACTCAAACTTCATTATGCAATCTCAAGAACCCACCATATAAATCACATGAGTTTATAGTATACAACTGCCAGATGGAAGCACCAGATAATAAGGGCACAGGACAGGGAAAGCACACTTCATAAGAGAAATGTCAAAATAAGATGTATGTAATACAAGTTTTTTCTTGTTTTCTTCTCTTGTGCCACCCCCAAAATAAAATAAAACAAATTCAGTAGAAGTCTAAGAAATTTACTGCCACCTTTTACACATCTAGAAATCCAGACATGAAAATTAAAGCCATGTTCTTTGCTACTCGTACAGTTTCCTGATGGGTAGGTGGTTCTATGAGTCCTGCTGTATTTTCATGCACAGACCAGCAAACCTGATAAGTGATGATTAAATCCAATGAGTTTTATATTTAAATACTAGTCGTACATTTAGCACCTTTATGTCTAGCTATATATGTTCTCCTTCCCATACCCCAAGTAAAGCTCTGACCCAAGAACCTTAGCACATCATACCACAGTGTCATTTCATTCAAATCTTCTGTTGCAAGTTAATTTTCCGTTTACTAGTTTCTCTGCTTCCATTCAAGGGAAACACTGTTTGCCACAAACAAACTTTGAGAGCACATTGGTGGGACACAAGCCCACTACTAAACTATAAACTTAGCTTGTGACTGTCTGGGGCAAGAGGGTGTCTGGTCTTGTTTGATGTACACCACTGGATTAGCTATAACTAATTACCCCCCCCCCCCCCCAACAGTGTAAACAAAACTCACTTCTCTGGTCTCATCTCATGCTTCATTTCTGAAACATGGAAAAAAAAATACAGATCACTTGACCACTTCCAGATTTATGTAGAATTTCAATAACAAATATGAACACTTTCTAAAATAGAGCAAAAATTAACCATTCTTTTACTTTTCCTTTGAAAAGTATTTCAGTGAAATCCAGGAACTTCCACCTGCTAGAGGACAGACTTGTCCAAGCGTGGAACTGTTTTAATCATATTCGAATTACAGACATAAACACTACAGAAGATTCTGTTTAACATCAAATGATATTCACTTCGCTCACCGATAACCTCAAAGCAAAGGTATGTGACTTTTTTTTTCAGAAAGTTAAAAGAAAAAGCTATTTCCATTTCTCGATCCAAGATTAAAATCTTCTGGGTTAATTCTGTGAATTAGCGTCATTCAGAAAATGAAAACCCGATCAATTATTATGGTGAATTTATCTGGATATTGTTCTTCTCCAAACCATTCATTACACAGCATGCGTATTACACAGCAAAACCAAATTCAATATTTTCTGATTTTAAAAGATTTTCACTTGAATAGTGTTTTTATCCTATGCTATTTCAGGTTACTTTTCCCCACAGATTCAGATACAGAACTTAAATATACAATCAAGCAAAAAATTTCCATGCTCAATCTAAACTGAATCACTTGTGCTGTCATGAGAACCTAATCTGAAAGCAATGCAGCTATGCTATGAAAACTATCTGAAAGGCACATTACCTAAAGTTACACTTTTAGCAAAAAAATAAAGCGATCCAAGGCCAACAAACGGAGAACAGACCAACATAAAGAGAAGAACACGTAGCTGGGGGAAGAAAAATATTCCAAGGAACAACATATAGTCATCAAAAGTGAAAGAAATTCTGTAGCCACAGCAACACTCTTAAAAGCTTCAAGCATCACTCAACCAAATCACATAAGAAGCTTCTATGTTGAAATACTCATGAAGTCCATCATCCTCCCAGACATTTTTCCAGTCCTCATGCTCCCATCAATGGAGAAAAAAACACTAAACTTGAAACTGGAAATTATGCTAAAGCACTATATACAAGAATAATCCCTAAAAAACAGCTTCAGCCCAGGTACATAGGTATTTGAAGAAATGATGGAAGAGAAAATGGCTGACAAAAAATACGAAAGCATTCCAAAAACCAGACAGTTTTCACATAGTAAATATGAAAATAAATATGCAAACATTTATGAAATAAATGTAAGAAAGGATAAAAGCAGAGTTCCAAAATAAATAAAATGCTATTTTTGTACAAGTCATCAAACACACAAACTTATACTAAAGAAAATACTAGGTGCCTCCTCTCCAGTTCTTACCATTTTTAAATAATTTGGGGGTATTCTCCTGAGCTTTTCTTTCTGTGGTTTCTTCTGTATATTGCAAATACACTCTCACTATTTTTGAGCCACTCCTTTGTTCCTGACCCATTTTTCTTTCCTTAAAATAACAATCAAAAACTCGTATTGCTATTTAATGATTCATAATAAATAAATAAAATAAAATAAAAACTTTAAATTAACAACTTTATATTGAAAAGGAGAAAAAACAAACTTTACAGATAATGGTAAGAACATACGGTATCTCCTTAGATGAGACATACAAATTCTAAGGAGCCTGCTAACATCCTACCAATAAAGAGACAAAGAAACAGGAGGTTCTGCATACTTACACAGGCACCTGAACCTAATTTGGCTCAAATACAATTACTTGAAAGAATGCAAAAATAGTTTTATTTAAAAACAAAACAAAACAACAACAACAACAACAACAAAAAAAAAAAACACAAACAAACAAAAAAACACTTTAAGCAGCAAGCAACCAAAAAATACTGTGCAAATTCTCAGGCAAATTATGGTTGCTGTACAGTACTACAGATTGCCTGACTCCTGACAGCTGAGTGATGTGAGGCACTCAGATGTTACCAGGGCAGCTGGACAACAGAGAGGATACAAGGCTTGTGCTAATAGTCCAGAGATCAACAGATTAGTCTTTTAAAACCTAAGGAATTGCTTCATATCACCACCAATCTGGCAGATTATGGTCCTGAAAGTTTATTTATTTTTAACAAGGACCTACCAACAGCCCTATACTGACTTTTCTGAAGTATCTTAGGATAGCTGAGTAAAAATTAAATTTGTTCATAGTTACACCTATTTCTCTTCATCCCCATCTTTCTAATAACACCAAAAGGAACAGGAACAGAGATTGTGAAGCAAAATTCAGTAAAACAGGATGGGCAACAAATAAAATTTACCTCTACAGATTAGATTGCTAAATAGCTTCAGGTGCTTTTCTCCAAGTGTTTCAGTTGAACAGGGAGAAAATTGGCTGCATTATCTGTTCAGGGCTTTTTGACTCCAGTTTGCAGATTTTGAACACCAGAAAACTAAAAGTAGTACTTTTATGTACTACTTTTGTATTTTGTATTTGATTATGTACTAACATTGTTCTGAGTTTCCCATGTAGCTTGGTGGTTGTTTTTAAGGCCCTGTATCTCTATAGTCTAGTGACACTTTTACCCAGCCTGTCTAGCAACAGGCCATTGGTAGAACAGACATTATCAGAAAAAGACTTTCTATGGTAAGCTGTGACACTAACCTTTCTTGTATGAACATATCCATCCAAATCACCATCACAAGGACACAAATGCATATGATGATACTAATGAAGTTTAGCTTCTTAGAGAAAAAAACATGTTCTTACTTTCCCCTCTCAAGTACCTAGCAGAGTATGAGTGATGCAAAAGAAAATATAGAAACCCATCTATCTAAAACAAAAACAAAAAAAAACAACACACAAACAACAACAACAACAACAAAATATATATTTTGAAAAGGAGAGTGAGCAGCTAGAACAAAATGCATATTGGAAAAAGTAAAAATTAATTTTAATCAGCAGGTTTACTTTAACAAAGGTTGTTGATTTTAAATGTGTCACCTATACAGACTCAGCAAGCTGATAGCTTATTCAAGAATATTCATGCTTTCTCAAGAACTGAGTCATGAATACAGTAAAGGTCTATCTCTAAGACAATGGTATAGTGGAGCCATGTGCAGCTGTACTCCTGGACATGTGACAAGTGATAGCATATGAAATTGTCAAACCTAATGTTTACATAGGGTAAAAAGCACAGCTGACAAACTACATAACTGTAAAGACAGTGAAGGTTATAGTGAAGGTTATGATGTCATTCAGTGCTGCATATAAAAAGAGCAGGATCCAACACCAGCATTACACACTTTTTTCCTGGAAGAGTTTCCCAAATGATTCTTTTTAATGGCCAAACTTTTCTTTGAGCAGAGACAAAATTCATGCTTGGGGTAACTTACTGGGAAAGTGGATTAGTTCAAAACATCACTCTGAAAATAATGCATTTATACAAACTAAATAGTATGACAGGTGGAGTTCAGTTCTTGTTGGTTACTTTAATAGTTGGTCTCTTCCAAAATGGCTGGAAACATAGGAGCATTATATCTATTTGCTTTGTAAAAAAATAAACTTCATCTGACCAGGGCATTTTGGTAAATGAATCTCAAAGCAGCCAGGTATGTATCTGATAGACTTTACTTGATAGACATAGGCAGGACCTATGGCTTCCCCAGTCGCTTTAACTAAGATTTAGTTTAAAAGGCATCTTATTTTTCCATATGCATTCTGGGTAACTTCCCTGCACCTCTGAGGGAGAATCAAATCAAAAGAAAATTATGAATAATATACTTAACACCTTACTACCATTGTTTTACTTACTGTAATTTGTATTTTGAAAACATAGGGAAAATATTTCAAGTTACAAAAATTTTTGTTACCTAGTGCTTCTTTTTTTTTTTATATCACCACTTTATCTGTAGACCTGGCAACACCCTGAGTAATATACTCCTTTGTGTGTTATCTAATCCTTGGGTGATGGCCTGTTTTACTGTGTTGAAATACTATGAGAGCAATGTGTGAGAGCATTTTTTCAGTTTTTAAGAAAAATTGCGTTCACTTTTGTTCCCCAAAAAAGGGAGAAAAAATGCCACTATAAAATAAGGAATTTAATATTTACTTTCTTAAAATACTAAGAATACCAACAATCATATCTCAGAAAATTAAATGATTAAAATTTTGAGAGCAAAGTTATTGGGTACACTGAACATAAGCATAATTTTATGGTGAGCAGTTAGCAATCTAGGCCCTCCTTCTGCATGCTATTCCACCACAGTCCCAGAAGGAAACATCCTTTATCTTCCCTTCCCTTTAAAAATAAGTTTTAAACAGTGAATTTAAGACACATGCTTGAAGGAGAACAGGAACAGAGGAAACTTTCTGTTTTTGTATCAGTCTGTTTTCATTGAGTACTCATGGAGTTTAACTACTTTCAGTTACGTGAGGATAGGTGAAAAAAAGAATGCATACAATGTTATTTTGAAAGACTTATCATTCATTTTCCTGAACTGTTTGTGTGTGAATGTACAGCTGTAACACTGATGTGCTTTAAGATGTTTTCTTTCAGAAGATTAAAGACAAAAAGAGTAAAAATGGACTGAAATTGCCAACTGTGCATAAGTAAAGTTTAAAGGAGTAGATCTGTGATGCAGAAAAAAAAATAACTGGGAAATAGGCAGTAGTCTGACCCCCATTAACACAAAAAATGAGGCACCATCTCTATGGCAACCCTCTTTGATTACAGGTGGAGGTAGTTAATATTTTTCTCATTTTTTCCTCTCTCCCTATAGGCTACAGAAGAACTCACGAAAATATGCCTTTTGTGAAGGTACAGATTCTTGTTTCAAAACGTGTTGCCAAGTCTTACCCATTGTGCAGCATTGTTATACTGGACTGAAAATACAAGAGGTACCAAATGACAATGTGTACAGCGGGCGTAATGCCCCTGAATTCAGAAGACTTGCTTTAATTTAAACCCAATGTGAATTTCAGCCAATCTCTGGTGTCATTGCAAATCATAGGATATAACAAATCCCTAAGTTTACTTTAATTTCATCCTGTCATGTCTTTTAAAAGCTTCCTTTCAGTATGAAATAGGCCATTACTCTTTTCTTCTTTCCCATACACTTCATGAAAGGGACCCAATACTACTGCAATAGCTGATAAACACTTTCCTGCAACATACACATGCACAGGAACCCATCTATTCTTCTTTTCTTGGACAGAGTTAAATGTCCTATGAGTTATATTGGCATTATCATTGTGAAAATGGGCTTACTGGCTTCTTAGCTGGATCAGCAAAAATGACTTACTTTATATTAGAACTGAGTAGTATGTAATTTATGAACTTCTCTTAATTGAATGCATTCACATCCAAGAGAACAAGCTTGGCAAATGGCATGCATTTTCACAGAAAACAGAGGACCCTGCAATATAGTTATATTTTTGAACATAGTTGGTTTAGCACTTATACAAGGGCTAATGAACTTCAGATTCCCTGTGTTTAACATATATATATATATATATATATATATATATATACACTCAAAATAGCTTCACTACTCATTAAAATTCTTCTGTATCATGCAAGCTAAAGACTGGAAAAAAGTGTTTTAAAAATACCCAATTACAAACAAAAATAAGTTTTTTTGGGGGTGGGGGAAGCAGTTTAACCTTAGCAGTAATAGTCAATGCCAAATGAAATTTTTAATTCTGTCTGTGAAAAACATCTTTTTTTTTTTTTAATTTGGTGTCAAATGCTAAATGCTAAAAAATGTTAAATTTTGTAATAGCATTTAAGTATTTCAGATGTGGAAGAATTCTAATTGTAAGACCTAAACTCCTTTGTTCTTTACTTGGTCCAAACTGTGAACTCAGATTGCTAGACAGTTTAATATAAATTTGTAATCTGCAGGTTTTTCTCCATTGTTTTTCATTTGACAATTCTTCTTCTTTTATAAGGGTCATAAAGGCAACAGTCTGTAAAATCTATTTCAGTTTTTCCTGCTCAGTTGTACTAATCTCAGTATCTTTTTCTTTTCTGTAAGAGGCCGGTGCGGTGTCTTTCTTTTTTCAATTAGAATTCTCTGAATGATTCTTCATGATGTGGAAAGTCTTCATCTCTTCAAGGAATCCAGTTCAGTTAACCTAAAGTGACCTCAATTTTGTACACAATAGAAATAATTTGTTTTCTTTACCTCTACCTTTTAACACAGTCATGCTTAGATGATCTTTTCTGGTAACCTCAGTAGGAACTTAAAAAGAGGATTTAGGTAAAACATTATAAGAACAGAAAAGCTAATTGAAATTTCAATAAAAAAAATAATTGCCACATCCCACTACAATAAGGAGGTCAAATCATCCTCTTATGCTTATAGTGCACATTGTCAGAAATACACTGATGCAGAAAAAAGACCAGTAATAGTACCATTGATCTTGCATTCATTTGCAATTTGGAGGAGAGTTAAAAAAAAAAAAAAAAGAAAAAAAAAGCCACTTTATTAACCCTGTTGTCATCACAACAGAATAAGCATATCCAGAGACATAGGCATTGTTGAGATCTGCACTGTCAGATTCACAGTATTTTTCAAATGCTTAAATAGAAATATAATGTTAACACATTATATACACATTCTGGGATACTCTGATTATGAGCATCTATCAAACTTATCAAGAATTAATTCCCTGGATGTTTTGCTTGTATTCCCACAGGTTTAAGACAGTGTGATGGGTCCCTTCTTTTTGTCTCCCATTAAGATATATCTGTTCACAGTGGAGAATCCTTTGGGACCACACTGATTATTGTTTTTCCTATCCCAAACTAATCCTCAAAGCATGGTAGTTTCGTACCCATGACGTACTAAAATTTTTCCCAAGTTTCCTCAGCCCCAGCCTGGCACTGGTGGCTGCTGCTGTCAGGATTTCTGATTGACATCGGTATATTTTTCTTATATATAATCTATAGTAGTGATGGAAATGAAGTGTATTATATCTGTACTACTAATGGTCTACTTTTATTACAACAGGAATGTGAAACATCAATATCATATTTTTTTGTAACCAGACCAGTTATATTTTCATTCTGTGCTAATGAGACTTCTACCTTTCATACTTGCTTAATCCACTTATGATACTTGGAGTAACTGTTTAATCAGTAATTTTTCATCCAGGAATGGAAATTCTCCTGGATCTTTTACTAAATCCCATAAAATTTGCTGATGGTGGATATTTGTGTGTGTGTGTGTGCATGTGTGTGTGAAAAAGGTTTTATTAACATCTTTTCTATTCAATTTCAGTATCTGGATAGAACTACAAGAACTATGTTGATACATTTTCCCAAAATATTCTACGAAACATTGCCTATAGACCTGTACTCATGTTGTTTTCTGTCCATTGCTAATCTAAACTCCAGTTGTTAAATAGAAAACTACATTCTAAATTTATATTCAAATTCTTACACTATCTCTGAAGAGGTAGTCTGAAATATTGTCCTGGGAATGAAAAAAAAAAAAAAAAAACAAAAACAAAAACAAAAAAAACTTCAAAGTTAAAACGCTGAGTTCAAAAGAATACCAACTTTATTCTGAACCATTATTTTATTGTTTTTATATGGCTCGCTTCAATATTTTTTTTTTCATTAAATGTTTTGTTCTAAACACCCATTTTCTTTTTGCATTGGTTTATACCAAATTAGTATGTAATGGTCCCCTAGATATTTTTGATCCATTCTGCTAGAAAGTGTTTTAAGTATTGCAACATCTTTAATAGATAGTATTGTTTCTTGCAGGGAAAGTCTGAGAGCACTGCCTAGTCATAGGTGTCATGAATACATCATTGAGTGGAGTTTCATGTTGTTGCACCAACTATTTCCTTTTGGAATTGTAAGGAACTGGGAAATACAAATCTCATGCATAAATGACATTAAAGTAAGAAGCTTGACCTGAATCATAGCTGCTTCTGAAAGTTACACTAAGCATCTACCTATATATTTAGTGACTTCGAAGTTTGGCTTATGTACCCTTAGAAGCTGGGCTATGTCTGGATTGTGGAGTCTAATGAAGGATGGTGTAGAAAGATCCCCATGAAAATTATTGTACATACTTTGCATGCATAAATTTGTCAATCCCAACAGAAGACTTTCAAAATCTCATATTTTGCAAGTCACTATTCATGTGCTATATACAAGTCACACAGTCCCAAAAGCGAATTGAGAAGGTCATGGGTTAGAGAAAGGCACATTCTTAAGAAGAGTTAATTAATAAAAAAAGATTTCCAAGCATGTCTTACACGTTTTGAAAAGTCATGGTTTGGGCTAAATAACATTGAACATCAAGTTAAATGGTCTTGAAATAGGCATATGCCACTCCCAGTTTGCCATTCAGGAGCAATTGAATCAGCAGCTAATTGCCCACTATCCTAGCATCAGATCAGGAGTGCAATATCATGCTTTCTAGGTAAAAGGTTTCCCAGAGCTAAATAGCAAAGGCAAAAGGCTAAGTATTGGGATTAGTAAATGTTTATTTTAGTAACACAGAAAATGGGAAACAAGGTGATTTTGGTGCAACCACTGGGAACACTCATTCCTTCTCTTATTCTTCCCTTGCCTTCCCTCTCTTCACCAAAACTTGAAGGCAGACCTTTTCACTTAACTCTGTTGAAAACAGCATGAAACCTTGAAAGTGTAATGGTCTTGCTGCATTCCTTAATGTTTAGGTAAAAAGTTTTTGTTTGTTTGTTTGTTTTTGTTTTTGTTTTTAAGTTTTAATCAAACTCAGCATCAGTTTGTATTCCTAATTTGAACAACCAAATGCGGAAAACCTTCAGTTATTTTAAGTGTTGTTTTACTCCTCTTTATCTTCCACAGCTAATAAATCCATTTCTACCGAAGAGATGTGGAATTAAACTTAGACTTTAATTACACTACCCCAAGATGAAAATCTGCCTACTGGATAATACCAGCGCGGTAATACCATTACCAACCAAGAAGAAAAGAATTAATAGATATTGAATGTATGACTAGTAGGTCACTGCTGATTTCAGCAGGACCAGCTGTATAACAAAGCAGATAATCATACTTAAAATTTCAGACTGAGAAAATCAGAGAAACAAACAGTGAGCCTATAATGGGGAGGATAAAGGAGGAGAGGAGACTGGACAGGATATATTAGAAAACTTTATTCAATCATATTGTTAAAGAACTTAAATCTGGTTATGACCACAGACTGACATTAATCAAGAATGGCTTTAATAAAGACAGTGTCCTAAGCACTGTATCTTCTAGGATACATCTAGAATACATCTTCCATGGAATAAACAATCTGTGTTTTGGTTTATCTTGTAGCCTGGGGTTGCCAGTCCAATTTTAAGTTCTATTGCAAAGAATGGTATTCACTATTCAAAGTACAGTGAACTGACTCACTTTTCTTTCGACTGGTTGCATTTAAAAAGCCAGGGGAGTTTACAAATAGTTGTTTTCTTTGTATGTATTACATATTCTTCAGAATTGTCCCAGGTGTCAATACTTACCATATGTACAAAGACACGTTATAGGTAAGGAGACAAAGTGAGAAAAGGAAATAGATTTCCAGTCCCTTCCTATTAAAAACATAACCATTTTTTTGCAAGTATCTCTGCCAGTTCAATGAAACACTAGCATAATACACTGTCAAGTGCAATCAACATTATTTGCTGACATGAACATTTTAATTATGCATTACAGAAATGTAGTCAATTTTGGAGGATCTTTGTACTTGTATCCTCAATTCATAATTATTTCAACAGTTCCATATGTCATAGCTTGATCAATGGAAGGGCACAGGAAGCACTGATGTATACATTACAACGGTACAATATCTGTAATAAAAATGCAGCACACAGCAATCTTCATTACCACTACTTGCAATACAATTTAATCTGTGGTATTAACACTGGGGCTATGTACCTAGTGATAACAGCAGGCCTTGCCATCATTCCCTTGCAAGGACTAGCCAAATATAATGACCAAGAATTAAAGCCATTTGTTGTTTGAAAGTGTAAATGGACTTCAGAAAATATGTGCCTGCACTGAAATAATTTCCTCATTAGCACAGGACTTTGATTTCCACACAAGGACCCTGCAATCAGATTTTTTTTCCACAGCCACATGAGCAAAGGGTCTTTCTTTCTCCGCTCTGTTCTACTCCCACTTGCTAAACTGGTGTCATGCATAGTACAGCTGAGCTTTGGCTATGTAATTGGCAGGTCCATCCATGGCAAAGAGAAAAATTGCCATTGCTCAGGGCAGTTCTGGCTGCATGTTTAACACTAAAAGGGGCTGATGCAAGAGAGGTAACATGCCACTCAAATCACCTTTCATTGGAGCTGTGCAGGACTCTGGAGCTTATGCTAGCTTATGCTTAGACTAGCACACAGGTGTGCTAGTTTGAATTTGAGTTGGCAGCAGCACAGCAGCAACAGAAACAAGGCTGACAGAGAAAGGTCAAATGTGATGGGTAGATCTGGAAGGTGTCAGTTCAGGGGTGGTATTTAGCAATTCCATCCCTAAATGGGACCAGATGAGGTGGCCTGAGGACAGTCCATAGGACACAAAGGAAGGAGAATGAGTCTCACAGCTCTAATGGAAACTGAAAGTAGACAGAAGCTAAAAAGAGCTACATTGGTTCCAGGAATAGAAAGGAAGCTAGCAGGGTATACAATATCAGTCTAGGAAAAAAAAACAAAAAACGACAAGAGTATAGGATTTCAGAAAAAGCTAAGGTTATGAGGCCACAGAAATATTCCCAGCATTGTACCATTTTCATCTATACTGACACAGTTTCTCTGGGGGAAAAGCAAAGTCTGTTTAAAGGAAAATTTGAATTTATATATAAAAGGTACTATAGCTTTTCCAGTTGCTGAAATAAATTACTATTTATTAGTGGAAAAACAAAACAAAACAAAACAAATAAAGAAAAAAAAACCAACAACAACAAACACCCATCTTTGCATAGCACTTCCCTCTCTTATGATCAACTTTACACGACACAGCATATTGTACATCAGATCCCTGATACTGCATGGCAGTTTACTAACATGTAGATTGCACAATCATGTGACTCATTAATAGAGTTAATGCAAACTTCATTGTCCCACACTGGAACTGGGATTCCTCATTCCCTTTCCAGTGTTGGAAGAGAAAGGATATTCCCTCAAGCCTCTCTTACAGGTCAGAGGTTCTTGAACTTTTTGGCCCAAATTAGAATTTTCCACAAAAGCCCAATAATTCAGGTATTCTCCCAGAAGACAGAGGATGTAGACTCAAACCCCCTCTGAAAAAGCAAGTCTTAAATTTGTCTCCCCCATATCCCAGGCAAGTCTTCTAGTCTTCTAATTACCAAGCTGTTGTGGGAGACTAAGACCACCTCTGGGAAGGGACAAGCTAAAAGAAAGAGTTTTGAAAGAAATCACTCAAGAGTTACAGCTTGTGAATCCAAAGTGAAGCATATCTGTAACACCTTGAATAAGATGCCCAGACCTCACAGAAGAGAAGAATTAAAGATATATCCATGTTGTCTGTGCTTTTCATCTCACTCTACATGAGGCAGCAGTCTAAACGGTGCATCAGTGAATAAAGCCCCTCTCAATCTAACAAACATTTTTTTTTGCTACGTAGCACCAGCATAAGAATCCAATCAAAACAGAAATAAATTCTGTAATAAATAAATTCTGTAATATTTTCTAAACTCACTCTTCAGTGTTAAAAACTGTATGGATTTCAGCTAGTCTATTAAATGTAGAGGTCCCTCTTGTAACTCTTCACCTGGAAGAGTGGGACCAGAACCCATCTTGACCAAAGATGGGTAGTGAAATGTTTCTTCTTATTTGCAGCAAATAGGAAAACATTTTGCTCATCTGTTCTTTTAGAAACACTAATGAAAATTAACAGTTCCAGGTGCTCTGAGAGTCTGTTCTTAGTGCTATTAATATGGAAGACAGAGTGAAACCACATAGTGACAGTAAAATGACACAGTCCACTAAGTATTCTGAGTCAGGGTTGTGGATTTTTTCCTCAAAAAAAAAATAATGGTACTTTACCCTTGTCATTGCGCTTTTACCTTTTGTCCTTTCAGTTCACTGACATCTTGATACAGAAGATCTATAGCAGGAGCTAAAAATAAAATGTATGTGTTATTAATTTGTATCAGCTGAACTTTTGTCCTATAGCTAATACAGGGAGAAAAAAAGAAACAAAACAAAACAAAACAACTTTTGTATATCGCATTCACAGGACATTTGGTGGAAAGCAATGTCAAACTTAAAATCTCTTCCATTTACCATTAGCATAATATTAACATATTGTGTATTTAACCTGATGATTACTCTCTTGGACTGTCAGAGTAAAAGATGACTATTATTTTTAGCTAAAGATAACAAACATCAGTCATATTAAAAAGACGAAATAAGCCACAGCAGTATATATAAATGTCTAGTAATTGCTATGTCTTAATAGGCTTTATTAATATTCCTAGCATTCAGATACTCATAAAACTTCTGTCAAACCAGTCTGGTTTGGATACCACAGTGAAGCTATTACTAAAAAAAATAAAGACTTTTTCAGTTGCTTTATTTGAAGCAGTTGAGATGTGTGTGTAAGTGTGCATATTTTTACACACAGATATGTATAAAAACATTCAGAAAACCCTAGCCTGCTTTTGCTAACACTCGTGTTTATATAGTCAATATGGTTATCAAGTCTTAAAAATTTGCTAGTTGTATTCCTGTGAGAAAAATACCAGAAGATACATGCCTAAATGTCTAGACGCTGTGGCGAGATGACCTTGGCTGGCTGCCACATGCCCATCCAGCCACTCTCCCACTCCCCTTCCTCAACAGGACAAGGGGGAGAAAGTAGGATTGAAAAGCTTATGGGTTGAGATAAAGACAGGCAGATGACTTAGCAATTACCGTCATGGGCAGAACAGACTCAACTTGGGAAAATTAATGTAATGTACCATCAATTTATTAAACATACACACCTTAGATTCCCTTCTTACCAGGCCCAACTTTACTCTTGATTCTTCCACCTCCTCTCCAGCCCCAAGCGGTGCAGGTGGATGGGGAATGGGTGGGTGTTGTCAGTTCAAAATGCTTCATGTCTGGCTCCTTCCTCACACTCATGCCCTGCTCCAGTGTGGGAGCCCTCCCATAAGCCACAGTTCGCTGCTCTAGCATGAGTCCTTTCCATGGGTGCAGTTCTTCAGAAACAGACTGCCCCAGCACGGGTCCCCCACAGGCCACAGTTCCCATGAGAAAATCTGCTCCTACATGGGCTCCTTTCCACACAGCCACAGTTCCCACCAGGAACCCACACCCATGTGAGCTTTCCACAAGCTGCAGCTTCCTTCAAGGCTGTCCACAGGTTGCATTGTGGGTATCCACTCCATCATGGTCTTCCATGGACCTCAGGGGGGCAGCCAGCTCCACCATGGTCTTCTCCACTTGCTGCAGGGGAAAGATGAATTTTGGTACATGGGCTGTTTCCAGGTCAGAAACACCATCTGTGTTACCCTGCCTTACACAGCCAGTTCCACTCTCCTCCATAGCATCCACCCCATGCACGTGGTGGAAGCAGGCAGCACGGTGGTGAACTGCTGACCACAAACAGGAGACTTTCTTCAGAAGCATTCCCTGTGAAAGCTGCAGGCTCTGCTTTGTTGCACTCTCCAGCCAAAGGTTGCCTTTCCATTTGCCTGCATATTAGTGGATAGTGCCAGAAATAAGATACCACCACCTCCTGCAGAGATAATTCAGAGAAAGGAAGTATCCCACATCACCCCCCATGGACGGAAACTTCTCCAGGGATGTGCAGGAAGTGAGTGAAAACTTTTATACAAAGATAGTTCCATCAGCACCCTTTTCCAAAAATGCTTCCAGGTGTTCAGGCCTGGAATAGAGGGGATTTTGGATACAGGGATTGAAGTAGAGTGTTCTTGTGCAATCCAGACAAATAGAAGGAATTTTCAGAATTCTCCAATTTTGGCTGGAGGCTACAGGGAAGAAAGAGACATAGGAAGTCAAAGCATTGGCAAATTATATTGCCTATATATATATATAGTATGATTTCATAATAAATAATATTTCTATTCTTCTTAAAATTTCATCCTTGACATCTTTGGCACTATAAAAGTTATTAAGACTTCTCAAGTATAAAGAAATATAGGACCTTGTCCTGTACATATGTCCTGTTTCATTCTGTTGTAGATATTGCATTTTATTTATTTTTTCTATTTTGACTTTACCTCTGCACCAGACTGTTCTGCAAGAACAAGATCCCAGAAGATGTTTTCACGTTGCTCCTTGGCAATGTTTTTGACAGTCAACTTATTCATCCTGCAATGGATTTTTGAGGGCTCTTGTTCCTAAATGCTTGGCCACTTGCTGAGGTGATCGGCTCCGGGGCAGATGCATTCTGCAGTGGAGCGGGGGATCCAACAGGCAGGGCTAATTTTTCCGGCAACGAGCCCACTCGAGGGAGCCACCAGGACCCGGCAACCCTTGTGAGGGAGGTGAACGAGGTGAGAAGAAGGTGTAGGCGGAACCAGCAGCGCCCCCCCCCCAGCCGTTCATAAGCTGCCCCTAGGGAGCGCAAGCAAACAGGACTGGCAAACAGGGCGTGGCATGTCAGAAGGGAGTGGCACGGCAGTTAGTGCGGCAGTTTGCGCAGGCAGGGCGAGCAGGAAGGGCAGAGCGCTCCCCCCTGCCCATACGAACACCTCCTTAACGGCAGTCTACAGCTAGCTCAGCTGTAATGGTGTACACCAGGCACAGTGCGCTCTCCAGGGAGTCTGTACACACCCAGACCGACTGCCCGCTCAGAACTGCAGCAGTTCAGGTCTCCGGGTGCAGGGAGTGCCTGAGCCTGTTGCTACCACCTGCGGCGGGGGGCAAAGAGACTGTGTGTGTGAGGTGCGAGCAGGTGGATGACCTGGTCCGCCTCGTGGCAGAACTCAAGGAGGAGGACTGCCTCCACCAGGACAGAAAGAAGGGTGATTGTTGTGGGAGACTCTCTTCTCAGGGGAACAGAGGGCCCTATTTGTCGGCCTGACCCTACCCGTAGGGAAGTCTGCTGCCTCCCTGGGGCTAGGATCAGGGACATTGCCAGAAAGCTTCCCAACCTGGTTTGCCCCTCTGACTATTATCCTCTTTTAATAGTCCAGGCTGGCAGTGATGACACTGAAGAGAGAAGCCTGAAGACCATCAAACAGGACTTTAGGGGACTGGGACGGTTAGTGGATGGAGCAGGAGCACAGGTGGTGTTTTCGTTCATCCCTACGGTGGCAGGGAGGGGTACAGAGAGGACACGGAAAGCCCACCTGATTAACATGTGGCTCATAGGCTGGTGCCAACACATAAATTTTGGGTTTTTTGACCATGGGGCGCTTTATTTAGCACCCAGCCTGATGGCTGCAGACGGGTCCCTATCTCTAAGGGGAAAACGGATCCTGGGCCAGGAGCTGGCAGGGCTCATTGAGAGGGCTTTAAACTAGGTGAGAAGGGGGATGGGGCTGAAACAAGGCATGTTAGAGCTGTGCCAGGGGGAACAATGGCAAGGCTGGGAGAGAAGGCAATGGCCCAGCTGAAGTGCATCTACACTAATGCACGCAGCATGGGTAACAAACAGGAGGAGCTGGAAGCCATCGTGCAGCAGGCAGGCTACGACTTGGTTGCCACCACGGAAACGTGGTGGGACCACTCTCATGACTGGAGTGCTGCAATGTCTGGCTAGAGGCTCTTCAGAAGGGACAGGCAGCATGGAAGGGGTGGCGGTGTGGCTCTCTATATCACAGAGAGATTTGATGTCACGGAACTTGAGGCTGGGAACGATAAGGTTGAGTCCCTGTGGGTTAGGATCAGCGGGAAGGTCAACAAGGCAAGCATCCTGGTGGGGGTCTGTTATAGACCGCCGAACCGGGATGAGGAGACTGATGAGGAGTTCTACAGGCAGCTGACAAAAGTTGCAAAATCGTCAGCGCTTGTTCTCATGGGGGACTTCAACTTCCCAGATATATCCTGGAAGCACAACACAGCCCAGAGAAAGCAGTCTAAGAGGTTTCCGGAGAGCATGGAAGATAGCTTCCTGATGCAGCTAGCACCTCCCTAACCAGGGGAGGTGCCCCACTAGACCTTCTCCTCACAAACAGAGAAGGACGGGTGGGAGATGTGGTGGTTGGAAACTGTCTTGGGCAGAGTGACCATGAAATGGTAGAATTTTCCATTCTTGGAGAAGCCAGGAAGGGGACCAGTAAAACCACTGTATTGGACTTCCATAGGGCTGACTTTGAACTGTTCAGGACACTGGTTGGTAGAGTCCCTTGGGAGGCTGTTTGAAGGGCAGAGGAGTCCAGGAAGGCTGGGAGATGAGTGGTTGGAGAGCTGCCAGGCAAAGAAGGACCTGGGAGTATTGGTGGATAGTCAGCTAAGTATGAGCCAGCAGTTTGCTCAGGTGGCCAAGAAGGCCAACGGCATCCTGGCTTGTATCAGAAGCAGTGTGGCCAGCAGGTCTAGGGAAGTGATTGTCCCCCTGTACTCGGTTCTGGTGAGGCCGCACCTCGAGCACTGTGTTCAGTTTTGGGCCTCTCGCTACAAGATGGACATCGAGGTGCTTGAGAGAGTCCAGAGAAGGGCGACAAAGCTGGTGAGGGGCCTGGAGAACAAGTCCTATGAGGAGCGGCTGAGGGAGCTGGGTTTGTTCAGCCTGGAGAAGAGGAGGCTGAGGGGCAACCTTATCGCTCTTTATAAGTACATTAAAGGAGGCTGTAGAGAGGTGGGGGTTGGTCTGTTCTCCCATGTGCCTGGTGACAGGATTAGGGGGAATGGGCTAAAGTTGCACCAGGGGTGTTTTAGGTTAGATATTAGGAAGAACTTCTTTACTGAGAGAGTTGTGAGGCATTGGCTGCCTCACAAGGAATGGGCTGCCTAGGGAAGTGGTGGAGTCACCATCCCTGGAGGTCTTTAAAAGACCTTTAGATGTTGAACTTAGCGATATGGTTTAGTGGAGGACTTGTTAGTGTTAGGTCAGAGGTTGGACTCGATGATCTTGAGGTCTCTTCCAACCTAGACAATTCTGTGGGATTCTGTGATTCTATCTGAGCTATTTTTCTGGTCATTATGGTGAAAGAGATGCCCTAAAAATGAAATTACTATCTTGCAGCTACTTTTACTTTATTTTAATAAAGGTGGAACTCTAAGAAAAGAAGAATAAGAATTGTATCTGAATATGGCAGAAAAAGTCAGGTAAGGCATTAAATCTGCTGGGGCAACTATGGAAGACTATTCACATACAATTGGAACAGAGTTTTGGGGCAGAGTTCAAATGCAAACCAGGCTCTACTCCAAGCCCATGTGTTCCTGGCAAAAGCAGGAATGTTACATATGAAAGATGAGCAAGAGCATAAGCCATCACATAAATATAATTAATAGTTCAGACTCAGATGGAAGCAATCCAAGTTCACATTTCATTGAGACCCAAAGTAAGGTGATAGAAAAGATACAGCACAGGAAATTCAATGGCACCGTTTGCATAGTAATGTATTACTTACCATTAACAAAAGATTTAGAATCTACCTCTTCAAAAATGTCCTTATCAATGCAGAAATAACATAAATTTGAAGATACTAAAGATCACTCCACCTTCCAGACCTGATCTTAAGGGTCTGGAGAAGACCACCTCAGGAGACTCTCTTATTGAAAAGGCATTAGGTAGGAAGGCACATTATGAAGGAAAGCACAATCTAAAAATCAAAGTGCAAACATAAATGTCACCTTTCCAAAAGAGGTAGTTATGACCAAACTTGTTTCATGTACAGGTCCTTAAATTTATCAAAGTAATTTTAACCAAGCTTTCTTTTAGTTAACCAGCAAGCTGCCACTTAAGAACAACACAGAAAAATAAGAGACAAACATATTTCCCTGGGTAAATATTGTTTTCTTGTTGTCATAGCCACATGAAAAGCATGAAGGCTGCTTCTGATTTGATATCGAGTGACATATTTACAATTATGTATGGGGAGAAAAGGTCCCACTTATTCTCCTTTTCTGTTCTTCTCCCATCCCCCACCTTCTCCCTATAAACTTTTGTCTACTAACTGCAGGTTGCTTGCAAATCATTTGTACTCTGTGATTCCTTGAAAAATCATTGTGAGGGAAAAAGGAATGGTATTCAATCAGCCCCTACTAAACCAAGCTGGAACTCCCCACCTCAGCCTGCAAGAACATCAAAAGTTCATCTCTATTTCTTGTCCTGTTGTCTTCTGTCACTTTCTGCTTTGTCCATTTGGCTTTGTCAGTCTGCTGTTTCATTTTTTACTTTCCATCTTCATTCTCTTTCTCTGCCCTGCTCTTAGGGTGGCTCAGGCTCCTGCTCCCCATTAAGAAGACTCCCAGACTTCCTTCTTGAAAAATTGTTCTAAATAACCACTCTCCTGGAGAGTAATACGTTTTCT